ACACACACACACACACACACACACACACACACACAGAGTAAATAAATGTTTACAAAAAAGGCATGAAGGAAATGGGGTATGAGAGGACAAGGTGATAGGAAGCATATGAAAATCGGGCAACTTGGTTTTGTATTGAGAAGAAACAATATTCATGAAAATATCTGAGATTTTCCCAACTCAAGAGTGTCTACACTCTCTGAGAAAAGGCTTTTAGACCTCTATCTATTCTGTAGCCTTCTGTGTCACTGTGTGGAATGGGAAGGAGAGCTTTTACAGAGGTACCATCTGGGACTGTCTCAAATCTGAACCCCAACCAGAAGAAGCAAATCCCTTCCACAAGCCAGGCACCCTGATCTCCCTGTAAAATACCTTGAAATCACCATTAAGGTGGTTGTTGTTGTTGTTAGTAAGTGACTTGTTTTTTAGTCATATCCAGAGGAGATTCCAGTGCCACGTTTGAACAATAACCCCACCCAGTATCACCATTGATACCGCACTTTTGTAGATGGTTGCTTTCAAACACAGGTGCAACCCCTAACCTCTTTGACACTGTGCCTTCTATTCTATGAGTCACTTCTGGTCACCCATTTTTCTGTCTACAGGGAAAGAAGGTGTCCGTCCCAACATCCAGTCTTGAATACTATGGCCAATAGGGCAACTCCACTTGTGACTTGTAAATTACTTGTGTGTGTGTGCACCTGTGCACTTGTATAGACATTGTGCATGTATGTTTGTGTGGAGGGGTGTGCCTACCCATGTGGAGGGTGTGGGGTGTGGAGACCAGAGGGCAACCTCAGTGTCATTCCTCAGGCACTGTCTACCTTGTTTTTTAAGACAGGGTCTCTCACTGGCCTGGAACTTGCCAAGGAGGTGGCACAAGCCCTGGGGATCTTCCTGGCTCCATTTCCCAAGTACTCAGATTACAACTTACACCATCATGCTCAGTTTTTTCCCTGCTGGTTAATTTTGTTATTTAGCAATTTCATACACGCCTAGAATGAATTCTGATTACTCTTCACCCCTTTATCTCCCTCCCATCCCTGTCGCCCCCCACCATCCCTACCAATCCCTTTCTCAGATTTATGACCTACAGTTTTCTTTTGTGACCCATTTAATCAGGCCATATGTGTGACCATTGGGTGAGAACTATCCACGAGATCCTAGGGAGGTCACTGGAAGGGCCTTTTTAATGGCATCTTTTCCATGGGTTCTGGGAATGGAACTCGGTCCCTCGTATTTGCAAGGCAAGCACTTTATAAACAGCCATCTCCCCAGCCCCCTAAAGTACTTGGTTTTGTGTTTAAAATTGGCACTATCAAACTGATTGGCTGAGGAGTCTTCTCAGCCCTATTCCCTACTGCTGATCTCTAACAACGCCTTCACTTTTCTAGACATTTTCTTTTTGCACCATCTTTTAACTGAGTTTTTACTGATACTCCGTTAGCATACAAAGTAATGCGTTTCATTGTGTCGTTGTTTGTTGTTGTGTTTTGGTTTTTGAACAAGTTGTTAAATAGTGTATAGCACAAAGCTGGGGCAGGTAGAGAGGACCCACCCTTAAGCCAGGAGCTTATCACCTCCTATGTCATCGTATATCATCAGTTGTTCTCCTGATCCTTGCCCCTCTGCAGGGCGGTTTTATTGGCAACTTTATAATACACGGACCATTTCATATCTGACTATGTTACCTTTCCTTGTTCATGAGTCTGGTCTTCATGAGTCTGCATGTAGTGTATCTTAACAGCAAAGTTGGACACCTCACTTTCAAAATAACACTTCTTCAAGTATGCCTAAAACTGACGGAGTACTTGGCATGCCCACGTTACTATAGAATGTTTAGGCAGCAAAGTGATTTATGGTTGGCACCAGAGCCAGCTGACATCTATGCTCAGCCTTGCTCTCCAAAGGATTTCCTTTGAGGGTGATTGCCAAGGCTCCAATTGTGCCTGTGCAGCTGTGAAGGGGTGGGGGGAGCAGTATTATTTTACAATTGTGAGGACTGAGAAGACATTTCAGGGTGCCTAGCAAGCCAAACAATGCTACAGATGTCTGCTCTTTGTATGCACCCACAAGGGTGAGCCTGTTTTGAACTGACGATGAAAACTGGGTACTCTGATCTTACTTGAGAAGAAAACAATAAACAGGTGCCCCTTTGAGACACAAACCACAGCGGTGCCATCAGAGGGGAGCTGTGCCTTCCAATATGATTCAGAGGGCTTCTGTTCCCACTCCTTTCCATGCCAATTTTTGTGGGGTTATTTTGCTTTCTGCAAGGGAAGCGTGGAGCTCACTTGCAATAAATACTATGTCAACCTCTCAATACATAGTTACTCAATGTACCAAGGAGATAAAGTGATGTTATTTAATTTTAGTGAGAATTTTATTTTTCAGATGAAAACAAGATCTCGGAGGTAAACTTTTAAGTTTGAACCTTATGTGCAGTGATACATTTTGATAAAGTGACTCCCCACTTCCTTTTCATAGCCAGGTGGTACATGTCTTTAATCCAAATACAGCAGAGGCAGAGACAGAGGCAGACTCTCACTACAGCTAGGATTATATAGTGAGACCCTTCCTCAAAATAAAAACAAATTTTATTTGATACAGTAATTTTTTTTTGGGTACTAATTTGTTTTCATAAAATTTATTAGGATGTGATTAAATATCCAAGATCTTGTGTATATGTTTACACTTTTACCATGGAATAAAGCTAAAACTTGGCCTTGGAGAGGTGGAAAGGACAAACAGTATTTCTTTTGCAAAATCTTTCTTGCCCTTTTCACTTTTGAGATAGGCTGTTATGTAGCACAGGCTGGCCCAGAAGTTGATAGAGAGCCAAAGATGACCTTAAACTTCCTGATTTTTCTGTTTATTTTTATTTGTTCTGTGTTGCTTCTTTATTTTTATTTCTATTTGAGATAGGGTCTCCTGTACCCTAGGCTGGCCTCAGTATCACATATAACATAGAATGGCCTTAAACTCCTGATTTACTTCCCTCCACCTCTCAACTGTTGGGATTATAGACATAGGTCGCCACAGGCCTGTGATGAATGTTTTCTTTGTTTTTGAAGAACTTCAAAATAGCATGCAAGATGGTTATACCACATTCCTTCCTAGGACTCATTCATACACAGTGATTCTAATGAGAGCTGAATAGTTGTAGTTCTAAATTCATATCCAAAGTGACTATGCCATGGCTTTTAAGTGCCCTGTTATTATTGAAAGTCAACATTTCTGGTGTGACTTTTTGGAATGAAGAATCATTTCTACATGTTGGCATAACAGCATAGATTTCCATCTAATTTAAGGTTGTAATGACTTTCATTCAACTCAATAGGGGAGTGATTGAAGTAAAGATGGGTTTTTTGTTGTTGTTTTTAAATAACATCAGCCTGCTAGGATCCTCTGTGATCAAGGCTAATGGAGTTGCCTGGGACTCAAAGGTCAGAAGAGGACTTCTCATGGAGCCATATCCTGCCTGCGGCCACCTTGACTGAGCTAGCATTTGCAAAAGAGCAGCCTAGAGGCTGGTTTCCCCCCTTTTCTAAATATGGTTTAATCCATTTGTTGGGGTCTGAGTTATGTGAAATTTGACTGCTGAGTCATTGTCACTTTCAGAATCAAGAGCCCTTGAGATTAACCGCATCCAAACAGCAGTGCTGTCTGCCTTGGAGCCCCAGCTAAAGAGAACTGGTGAAGAAGGGAGGTGACTGCCTTCTTTGGAGAAGAAAGGGCATTTTCTCATGGGATTCCATGACAGCTTTGGACTTGGTGGAATAATTCCTGGGGAATAAGACATGGTATCTTTCCCATCTTCCCTGAACAAGGCACTCTCTCGAGGACTTTGATGAGTGATAAGGCCAGGATCTACTTGAGTGCATCCTTTCACGTAGCTGCAGCTGGTCCCTGGGGGAAAGAACAGTCCTTAGAGAGACTGCAGAGAGTGGTTCTCAGCCTTCCTGATGCTGTGACCCTTTAATACAGCTCCTCATGTTGTGGTGACCCCAACCATAAAATTATTTTTGTTGCTACTTCATAACTGTCATTTTGCTACTGTTATAAATCACAATGTAAATATCTAATATGCAACCTCTGTGAAAGGGTCATTCTATCCCCCCCCAAAGGGGTCACAACCCACAGGTTGAGAACTGCTGCTGGAGAGTCATATAAGATACTGAGCTGAAAGGGGCTTATAGATCATGGAACCTCAACGGTGGTATTTGACCCAGCTAGTAAACTCCAACTGTACAGAATTTTGGGGTACTATGCATAAAATCTAGCCATAATCAAAATTAAATTTTGATAATTTTATTAAACTGAGTATTAATTATCTTAAAAGTAAAGGAAATAGTCAAAGTCTATGGACCCTAACTCTTACTCTACCTTACCATTATCTATACTTTGTATATATGTGTCTGTGGGTGTGTTTGTGTTTATACATGTGTGTGCAAGTACAGTCTATGTGTATGCACCCATGTGGAGGCCAGAAGTCTACCTCAGGTGATACTCTTTAACGCCCTATTTCTTGAGACAGAGTCTCTCAGGCCTAGGGCTTGTTAGTTAGACTAGGCCTCATTTTTGGAGGTCATCAAGGGAGACGATGAAAAGGAGGCCGAGATGGCATCCTGAGCTTTGACTTTTGTTGGTGGAGATCAAGATTGAAGAGTAACTAAAGGTTGAACAGCGCCACCATCCAGCAGTATGTAAGAGGTGTGTTTGCTAATTCATTTGACATCTGCTCCACGGGTTGTGAACACGCGTACCATCTCGTGTGCCGCTGTCGAACGAACTCCATCAGACCTGTTGGTACTCAGAAAGGGCTCCATAAATATTTTCTGGAATGGTCAATAGTCCAGCCACTTCTTGGCATTATATGGCCAACGCCCAGTGAAGGAAGCCTCACCCAAGGGATGGAGCCTGGTGGAGTTCAGCCCACCGACCTTCGAGAACTTCATCCGACTGCTAGATTCTCAGTGCCCATTGTTTGTCTTCTCCCGTAGATGACGGAGGGCCGTCGATGTCAAGTACATCTCCTTGATGACAGGAAGCTGGAGCTCCTAGTACAGGTAGGTCCCTCTGGGGCCACTTCCCTAGCTTCTTCTGTGACTAATGAATGTGCTACAGAGGTGGTTTTGGTGATGGATGGAAGGGGGTTATCTACTGTTTCTTTGTCTCTGTCTAGCAAAACCTGTGTGACAATAACTGGGACATGCCAAGGTGTTCTGTGTGTATGCTATTTTTGCTCATTCTATTTCTGTGTACAGCATGCCTCTGGGGTTCAAGGCCAAATGTATATATAACCTTTTGTTAAGAACTTCTAGAAAAGGAATTTCCGCAGCTACCATTAGCTATTCTTTCTGCTTGGAAGGAGTTAACAGCATTGTAACCTAAATAACTCCCATGTCACTAAAACTGACGCAGTCGCCCTCAGAGGGGAGCGAGTTCCTTCTTTTCAAATTAAGCTTTCATAGTGCTTGAAGAAAGAAAAAGCACCTCTGTTCTCTGTCTGTCCCCTGAGGGCTAGCAATTCCCTTTCACCCCATGGCCTGGGTTGCTGTCTCTATCAATGGCAAACATTTGGAGAAACTGAGATGGGAAATCAGTGTGTTTCTCCCCAAACTGAGTGCACATATTAAAAAAGTCAGGAAGCCACAGAAGGCATCAGAATCCCAGACCCCAGCTGTGCTCACCCGGCTCTTGAAAGGGTCATTGCTTTGCCCAGAGCCTCGGGAATGATGGAATGATTCCAAACCTGGCTTAAACACCTTTGAAATCTGGTTCATTTCCAACTTTTGTGACCCTGTAGGTTTGATATTCTCTGATGTTGTTCTCAGGATAGTCTTCTTTTCCATCACACGCACACGCGCACACACACACACACACACACACACGCGCACACGCACACACACGCGCACACGCACACACACACACACACACACACACACACACACACACACACACAGAGGCATGTATGTCCTGGGATTACAACTGCAGGTCATCTTGCCATGAAGATGTTTCAGTGTGTCATAGGGATGGAATGGTGCCTACGTGCTCATTCTCAGGGCATACAAGACATTGCAAATTTTTCATACGCAGATTTGTCTCTGTGGCCTTGGACTGCTGCTTGGACTTGAAAAATGATCCAATTACAAACTTTAAGAGTTAATGCTTTCAACAGGATTCCAATAACAAAGCCATTATAAATGTGTTATAGAAAATTGGGAAGACTCATAATCGCGTCACACGCACAGCAGTTATTATTCTTATGCTGGTGGGATTTCTTTCCCGCATTGTCTTATTTATATATGCTGCATATTGCAGTTATAACAGATGCATGCTATGTACTTTATTTCCCCACATAGCTGTGTCCTTTCTAGCATTTCCTATGTCATGGCAACTGGTTATCTTTGTTAAGAGCTGAATAAATTCCACAAATGGATATATTATTGTTATCTAATCACTCGCCCATTTAGGTGCATTTAAGGTTGTTGTTTTTCTGCCTTATAATTTTTCTCCTATTACAAACAAGTGTTGTGATTACCATATCGTTGCGTGTAGCTTACCCACACTTTAGATTATATCCTTTAAGGCTTGATGCCACGGCCTACAGACTGTGCGTTGATTTGGGTGAGTGAGACAATACAGGGAAAACAGATACTGAACAAGAGCCTTCCACTTGCTGACATTTGGCACTTTAAATTGCTTATAGAGAAGTGGTCTTCAGGGTGTGTTTCACATGCTCCTCTAAAATCCAGGCTTGGGGGCTTAGGAGCCACCTTCTGGAACAGGCATTGAGACTGCAGCTAGCAGCTTAGTTACTGCTGATTAGCAAGCTGCTCTTGGGAGAGGATGAATGGAGACAGCTGAGATGACTTGTCCAAGAAAAATGTAATTACTGATACATAATTTGAGAACAACTATTAGGAACCCTATAAAGTCAAAAGAGTATTGGGCAGTCAGGAAACTCATGCTCCCCCCACCCTTTGTGGGAAATGCTGTCCCATTTCATCCCTCTTCCTAGAACGTCAACCTTCCTATATCTTGTCCCGTGAGCATGGCTAATTTCTGTTCAGCCTACAAACAGTTCACAGCATGGAAGGCCTTCCCCATCCTCATCCCCAGTGGCTCTCACTGACCCTCCCTCTTCTCCTCAGGAGCCTACACTTAGCTGCTCCTGATCTGAGTGTCTCTCTTACAACCCAAGTCACACTTCATGAGTTTTGCTTGTGTTATAAGCACTGTGTCCTTCGAGCCCAGGCCGATGCCTGGCATGTACTGTCACTAAATACTTACTGTTGAGTGACAGAATGTCTGATCCTAAGGCATCTTCCTATTGCTTCCTTGGAGGACTTCTTGTCATAGGACCAACTGCTTAGGATATCTTTCAATACACACAGTGTATACACATGTATATATGTGCATACACACACACACATACACACACATACACACACACACACACACACACACACACATACACACACACACATCAAAAGATTCCAAACTCCATGGCAGCGTGGGCCTCGGTATAATTGGGAGAAACTAGACTAAAGCTTTTGGACTAAAGCCAAATTTAATATTTGCATTTTTCCTCCTCTTGTTCGGCGTTGCAGTCCTGTTCTCCACCTCATGTGGACCAACCTCTAGGTTGTAAATGGCACAGACATTTTAGCTCCATACTTTCGCGTGTTCCTTTTATTAATGTTCTAGTTAGCTTACAAAACACTGGGTGCCCTTGTGACAGTTTTATATCCACTCACTGTGCTTGGCTTGAATTTGTCCCCCACTGCCCTCCCTTCCTCTTCTTCCTCCCCTCACGCTGGTTCCCTTGTTCCTCTAAGCATTCCACTCTGCACGTGCCTGCATGCTTGTGCACACACACATCATTCAATCTATATTCTACATATGAAATAAAATGTACAGTGTTTTCTTGCCTGTCTCTATTACCCTCTTTAGACTGCTTCTTCCCCCATCCCGTAGTCTCCATTCTACTTTCTTGTCGTATATATTCAAATCTAGATCCTGCATATGAGAGAAAATCTGGTATTCGCCTTTCAGGCGAATAAAGCTTGTTTCACTTAACATGATAAACTCCACATCTACATGGCAGTAGATGTCTCATCTACACTCACGCAAAGGATGTGATTTCATTTTTTTTATGGCTGACTAAAACTCCATTTTACATATATACTACGTTTTCCTTGTCCATTCATCTGTTGGTGGGCATCTAATTGGGATCTAAATCCTGGCTATTGTGAATAGTGCTGAAATAAACACTGATGTGCAGGCATCTCTGTGGTACTTTGGTTTAGACTCCCCTGTCATATTCTTGATACTTTATGTTCATGGAGTAGTAAGTTTAGACACTAAAATACAGAAATATTGAAAGTGTTTTCATTTTTCTTAAGAATAATTTTGAAGGCCAGGCAGTGGTGGCGCACGCCTTTAATCCCAGCACTCGGGAGGCAGAGGCAGGTGGATCTCTGTGAGTTCAAGGCCAGCCTGGTCTCCAAAGCGAGTTCCAGGAAAGGCGCAAAGCTACACAGAGAAACCCTGTCTTGAAAAAAAAAAAAAGAAAGAAAGAAAGAATAATTTTGAAATATTTGTCATAGTCCCTGGACTAAAAAATACTTTTTAGAACATTTTGGCCTGGAGTCCCAGAGCTGAAGAGTGAAGGAAAAAGGCATTTTCCAGGTCACATTTACCTGGCAAGGCTTACAAGAGCAGGAATCGAGTTTAGAGGAATCATTTGTCTCTCACGGAGAAGCAGACAGGTTGACACAAGTTGGTCAACCCAGAGACATCCGTGGAAGAAGCCGTGGAAGAAGCCGAAGTGCCACTGTTAGTCAGTGGCTATTTGTGATGATTTCAGGAGTTCCTTCCGGCCGGAAGGAACTCCTGAAATCTCAGTCTCCCAGAATCGTGTAAACCTGTAGCATAAATGTCCCAGAAGTAAGCTGAATTGACTTCAACTGCCCACTCTCTCTTGCTCTCTGGCCGTCACCTTGGGGTGCTGGAAACCCACCTAAATAATTTCATATAGTCATATGTACTTGATCACTGTTGACATAATGTTTCCAAAAATTGTGGCCACAATCCTGTCGTCAGATGCTTAACCTGGAAAGCAGCTTGGCATCACTGAAAGAAATCTGTTTCAAAATCCCAATTGCCCTAGTAAATGAAACCTGACTGCTACGAAGGACGACAGAAAGTCAACAGAGTACCTGGAGCACCTGCCAGGAGTGTATCCTAAATTCACAGGCACTTTTTGATACCCGTGTGGCTCCTTATGTCCTTAAATTTCCCTGGGGACAGCTGGAGAGGTGACAGGAGTACTCACCCACATCATGAGTGGGTACAGACAGCACCCAGGTCACCCTCCGACCTGTAGTGCCATGCTCTGTCACCAAAACTTCCTAATACTGACATATTTACTAAAAAATCAAGCAAAGTAAAAAGACCTTCATCAGAGTAAGAGGCTACTCTCCTCTGGGTTTCTGAGTCAGTGTCTTCTTCAGACTTTGGCAGCTGGACTTGGGGCATTGGACATGTTTGTGTTCAGCTCGGCTTCTCAAGTCCTGTCTTCCTTGTTCCTTTAAAGTTATTTTCTTTTTCTTCTGATTGGAATGCCTGTTTGAAGGGGTATTTTGAAAGGAAAAAAAAAACAGGGGCATGGGGCGGGGAAGCTGGGGATAGTGATGCATGCCAATAATCTCTGCATTCAGAGGGAAGACACAGGAGTATCGATGTCGGCTTGAGACAAGCCTAGTTTACAGTGGCCAGCCAGGGCTTCTTAGCCAGATCCTAACTCAAAACGAAACACAGGCAATGTGTTTAGTACTGGTGAGAAGAACTTAAGGCGGACCTAGAGGAATTTCCATACATTGTAAGCCCATTGACTGTTCCCAGGGAAGGTTCTGGATCTTTCCTCCTGGGTGTCTTAAAAATAGACTTCATTTTTAGTAGAATTGAATGGTGGAGGTGTGACTCTTCCGAGCATGGTTTCCTGCAGGCTTAGGATACTGGACCATATCCCACTTGACAGGAAGGCAAGCTAACTCAAGAA